TCTAGAACCAAGGAAGTAGTAAGGAGAAAAGCGCATGCCACAGCCCAATATCTTTTAGTCTTCCTCTTCCCAACTCAAGAAGCGTAAGGCGATCAGTAGGGACTTAGACTCACCATCTTTATCTGAACAGACTATATACATTTGCGGGTAAGTATACGAGTATATCTAGCGCGAGCTTGACATCTCCACCATCTCTTATGTATGTCTTGTAGATAAGGTAGATAGTAACGTACCAAATACACACCATGGGATAGGTATGTGACTTTTCACGGGTACGCCCTGTGACTCGAGTGACACTAGTCACCCGGCCGTATTCCTCAACTGACGGGATGCAAAACACGCAGCCAATCTGCAACACCCCTCCAACTCATGATCACCGAAGCTGCCATGTTTCGACAGCTGACCCACCACCACCACCACCAGCCTGCGAGCCGTACAATGTATCTTCCCGTTATCGCGGATTGTAGAAGCCATCACCGTAGCTTTTAGAGACTATCTATCTAGAGTACAAGATTAAAAGTAGCGATTAACGTCAAGTTTCAACTCAGGTGTTTACTGAAGGCTATTGGTAGAAAGGATTGATCGCTCGACTTGATCTAGTGATCTGGTGACTAACCGGGTTACCCACCACAGACTCCTCTAACATATATCCAGGTATAGCACAGCGCATCGCTGCAGAACTTAGTATTAGTGCATCAGATATGATTGATTCTACACAACATGCCTCTCCCCAGGACCAAGAAGCAGTCCCATATCTTAGTTACCTTCGGCATCTACATAGTATAGCCTGCCTACGGACCAACTCCATTTCCCCTTACATTAAGCCTATTTCGAATTTGGAGGTTATTTTTACCCTTTTCAATTCTTCCCTTCCTATGTTCGACACGAACACTAAGCAGATGCATGCCCTGAGACCCTGTACACGTAAAAGGTATCTTGAGAGGGAGACAAGGGGGTGGTACCAGAAGACAACTCGCTAGAATACGCTAAGAGAAACGCTACACCGCTCAGTATTACTTCACTTTTTAGTCTCGCTGGATTAAGATGCGGATTCGGGATGATCAACTGAACGATCTTATCTAGATCATAGTTTCAATAGGGGTTCTCTAGCTAGGTAATGAATTCTTACATGTCGGCGGCTAAATCACCGCAGTTTTAAATATTTTGCTTCTTTTTGGGACATTGTGTTGAGAGGTGGCTCTCTGTCTTCGACATGAAGCGTGATTACTTTAGTACTTACCTAGTCTACAATGTCGTTAATGCGTAGTGTAGCTTGCGGGCGAGGCTTGAGGGCTGGAGGCTAAGATCATTTGAAGCTGAACAGTGGGGAAGCCACTTGCTGCGCAGGAATTCGGCTGACAGGCTCACAGAGTCCTATTCTGATTCCTTCAATTGATTGAGGTGATTGATCCCCAGTCTCGTCTCCGACCTGCTACCGTAGACCAAAACCATTGCTGATATGAATGGAGATGCGCAAAAACGTGATGGCGATGGCGTCGCAGATGCCACAGATGCCACAGATGCAAGTTCCGATGTGAGCTCAAAATCGATGCAAGGCGGCGGGACGCAGGTGAGGCAAAAGCTCTACGCTCCCGGCCTCAACGCCATCTCTAACAGCGTGTCAGCGGCTTTGTGCAACATGTCAATCTCTTCAATTGGGCGTGCATCGCTTCAAAGTGCAAGGTCCGACGTCGAGCCAGCGACCTAGTCTCGCATCGGCCGACAGAATCCTACAGTCGTCTTCGACTTCTACCCGACTTGGCGTCTTGACTGACATCAAAACGAAGGCGTCCACGTGTCCGCTCTGCGCTTTGATCTTTGAGTCCGTAGGCGAAGTCTGGCAGCAACATCAACTGCAGGCCGACGAAAACGAGAAGCAGAAGCTCTTACAGGCGTCATGTGTTCTCACGTGGGAGATCGACGGTCGCGAAGGGGCTCGGGCGAACCGCCTCGGTAAGTCTTCGAACATGGTCCGTGGTCTAACCAGGCGTATGCACATCCGTGTGAGTAACTCTCAGTCGTTCCTCCTGTCCCGGCGGCTTCCCTTTGCAATGCAACGACCGGCCTCCAGGCTCAATTCATGTTATGGGCACTCCCGGCGGCGTTGGAGCTTTTCGGGTTACGCTTAAGATGACATTTGACTGACCACTAATGTTATTGTAGTGGAGTCATCCAAGTCTATCGGACAGCTACATAATCTATGTAGCCCCGGAAAGCTTTTCCACGACAACATCAGACGCCGACCGCGTGTGGGATAAGAGCTCACTCTTCCTTGGGCGTAAGGTCACGGAGCATATCGAAAACCAGGCTCTGGTGAAGTCCTGGCTCGATCTTTGCCTGAAGACTCATCAAGGACCATGCCGCCACGAGAACAATAATATATGTCCTCAGGATTTTCATGATATGGTGGCGCATTCTTATTTCGGCGTCATAGATGTGTTGAATATGCAATTGACGCAGTTACCATCGAAACCTGACCCGGATTACGAGCCTCCTAGGAAGAAACCTGGGCGGATTAAGTGTGCTCGCGTGTACGAACCGTATGTGGTTCTAAGTTACGTGTGGGGGCTGGATAGCGCGTACACTACAACGACTGAGAATGTGATGCTACATAGAATGCATGGTGGTCTCGAAAACGTGATTCAAAAACTCCCCGAGGCTATCAAAGATGCGATTGAGCTAGTAAGAAGGCTTGGGTTCCAGTATCTTTGGATTGATCGGTTATGCATCGTTCAAGACAGCGCGAGATCTTGGAAGCTAAACGCTTATAATATGGATCTCATTTATGGAAACGGAGTACTTACGATCTGCGCTGCTGACGGAGATGCCTCGGCTGGGCTTCGTGCCATGAGGCCAGAGAACCATAATCTCAAGCAGCCCAGGCGAACAGTTATGCGAGGGCTCGATCTGATGGTGACACGCCCACCCGAGATTCATATACGTCAGTCCGCCTGGAACGAGAGAGCTTGGACATTCCAAGAGCGTCTTCTTTCACGTCGCTGCCTTATTTTCACAAACGGTCGGGTTTACTTTCAGTGTCGTTCGACAGGCATGTCAGAAGAAATATACGCTGACCGCAGAGGTGCCGGCTGGTCACTTGACCTCGTGTATGCACCCTTGCAGATATTTCGCCAGATAGACACATGCGCTATCTGGGTCTATATGCGATCTGTGGAACTGTATACCGAAAGAAAGCTCACAAAAGAGCAGGACATTTTAGCTGCCTTCAGCGGTGTTTCAAACGTTTTGAAGAGTCGCATGCGAGCACCCTTCATACATGGCCTCCCCAGTTCGCACTTCGACTTGGCCTTGCTTTGGGAACCCACACGAGCAGGTGAAAGGAGAGTGATAGCGGACTCGCCCGACAAAAAGAGCTACTCGATTCCCGACTTCCCAAGCTGGTCTTGGGCCGGCTGGACTGGCCCGATCGCTTTTAAAGATAATACTGTTGGTGGTTTCATAGATAACGTGTCTGAATGGATCGATAACCACACTTGGATCAAGTGGTGGGTGCGAGACGGGCATGGGGATCTACGTCCACTCTGGGACAGTAAGAAGTTCAAGACTGACCGTAGTAAGGATTTTCGGTGGCGAGGTTATCGTCCATCTGGGGTAAGGGCCTATAAGTTACAACATATCTCCCCGAAAGAGAACGATAGGTATCAACCGTATGATGAGTACCCATTAGGAGAATCCGACAGCGAAGGTGAACTACCGCCGGTGCTAAAGCGCGAACGGGACCGGGACTGGGAGTCAAGCAGCTCCTCGACATCCGATAGTGCTGACGGATCTTCTGACGATATCTCAAATAGATCAGATTATCGAGCCCCTAAGCTAGACGACGAGAGAATTGAAGTGCATTACAAGGAGCGTCGGGACTATTCCCCTATCAGATCGCGTTCTCCACCACCTGATATATATAATATGCGAGGACATCGTCAGTCGAAGCCAAATGGTATCGGAACCCGCTTCGAATCACCTTCGGGATATCGACGCAAGAGCCCGCCTTCATCTCAAGGATATAGGCGCAGGAGCTCACCTCTAGGATATGGACGCAAAAGTTCGCCTCCTGTCCTATCAAAACATCCCTATAAGCTGTCCACTCGGATGCCTTATAATGCCGACTACCCCGTACGATCGAGTCGCCAGACAGCGGAATTCTTCGATATGATATTCGATAACAGGGGAGAGGAGTTTAGCATCACTCTCAAGGACTACCCATACCGGGTAGTGACGGCTCCATTTACCTCGAAGCTGGAAAGTTTCGAATTCCCACTTCTCCCTATCCTTCAGTTCCGCACATGGTATACCACCCTGTACCTCAAGGCTGCCACAGCGTTCTCAGCCGAGAAGAACGAAAGTACGGAAAGCCAAAGCGTAGAGATGGGCCCTGGACAAGTACGCTGCCATATCGCCGATGACGCAGGCGACTGGGTTGGCTCTATGGTTTTGGATGCGCGGTGGATGGCGAGTCAAGGCTCACATCGGCACGAATTCATCGCCATCTCCGAGGCCAAGAATTTCACGGAAGCTGAATGTGAGACCTGGACATATTATATTCCGAAGGAGCGTAAAGCAAGTGAATGGGACCTCTTCTACGTGTTGTTGATTGAGAGGAAAGATGAAAAATGGGAACGGGTTGGCCTAGGGAAGGTCTTCAAAGAGGCGTTTCGGAATGCGAGGTGGAAAGAGATCATGCTCGGTTAAGGTGGTGGCATCTGCATGCTAACGTCGTCGCTGCTAGCCTGCTTCAGAGGCACGCAACGATCTTATACTGAATTGTACTTTGATGTTGGCGAATTGTTTAGACGCTAGTTGTGTGCCAAGATAGATCCGACCATCACTCAACTGCTGTACCCATGAAGGAGAAGAGCTGATTATAACAAAAAACAACAAAGTAAGTCTCAATATAGATGAAAGAAACATTTAAGCTTTTGTGCAGGTTGCATGTATGCTTAGCTTAGATAACGGCCGTTAATAGCAGTAAAAAATGGCAAAATTGTCGAGAACGAGATTCGAACTCGCGCGGGTTGCCCCACCAGAACACACACCTTTTTTTAAGTGCAAGGATTACTTGAGTCTGGCACCTTAACCAACTCGGTCATCTCGACAGTGTGGCGTAAAATGTGAGCTTTTGGAGTATAATATTGTAGTGCAATGGGGGCGCTATCAGAAAAAGCTAGAACCAACTTCAGCACTACCTAGGTACACTGTATTAGAACAGTGGGGTTCTTTGGAGGGGCAAGACGCCTAAAAATAGGGGGCAACTTAGTGCTCGCCTGAGAGGCGTATTGAAGAATAGGGGGCGCGTGGAATATCCCATATGTGCAACAAAGCTGGGACAGCGTCATGGATAAGTAAGTGGACGTCTGGAACGTGGTCTGAAGCAAATATTTGCCGAGTGAGAGTATCAAACCAGCTCAGGGGCAGGGAAAAGAGGACCGCGGTTGTATGCTCTTAACAACAGATCCAGTGCTATCCCGAGCAGCAGCAATGGCCCAAGCCGCCGATGCACACACATGCTCATGGCTCCAAAGATCGATGATCTGTTAGAGAATACATATCCGGCATGTACAGAAGAACACACGAAGAGGCTAAGCATAACCCTCTAATTATAATGCAAGTCCAATCCATACAGGAGACATACATCAGGATCAGCAGGGTTGCCGAAGCCCTTGATCTGGACGCATGCTACGAGCGCGCGACATCAGGATCCCACTGAGGCTGTTCCTCCTCGTGACGTCGCATCCACGGACCAGATTGCGAAAGGCAAGCGCAATACAATTTCCAAGGGGTAATCAAACAAACCCCGAAGCCCAAACCTCTCCATTGGAGCCTGAGGGAGTCCTCTCGTCGAATCTTCTTCTCACAGGCTCTACTGAAAGCTTAGCTATACCTATTGTCCATAATCTACTTCGCCACTCAAACACCGGACATATCCTGCGCAAACAGAGGCGCAGATAGTCGTTCAACACAGCTTCGCCGTCTAGAAGCTGCCGGTTTGGCGAAGGATGACCTAGGCACGCGCGTTACGTTCTTGCAGATCGATGTGTCGCGTCCCATGCTCAGATTAAGAGAAGAACAACAACAAAACATTGCGGACGCGAGTTAGTCTGGTATTTCACGATGGATGACGCGTCAATTTCACCTTAAATTTCACCATCCTTTCGTTCGCAGCTCGCAGGGGTTTTCAATTCATGCGCGCTCGAAGTTGTCACACCATTTGTCTGGCTTCAGCGTGTACAAGAGTGCATTATCACAACAACTTCGAGCGACGCCAAAGACATAGCTGGCGAGACAATGGTTAGCCCAGCCCCCAGACTCATTGGCTTTTATCAAGAATGCTTTTGGATTACTGACATTGCTGCGTTTTAGCCCCTGTCGATCGAAGTTGCTATCAAAAGTAGCCCTGCGCTACGGGATATGCCATGCGTCCAGCACGAATGGATGCATAAGTGGATAGATGAATGGATGACGGCAGTTCACCCTGGCGTCTAGATCGGGCGAAGGGCTGCGGGGTTTGCAGCATCTCTTGGGCTGTCTAGCGAGTCGAATATGGGGGCGAAATATGTAGCAATGGTGAGAACTATTACCCTATAGTGCAATCTGATATAGCTATGTTATATAGCCTCTTTTGATACTACATTCTAGGGCGCATAATGATGGCTGAGTAAAACTAGAACACTTTCCAAGTCGGATTATCATACTATCTATCCGTATTCGGTTGATCTGGGTCTAATATTGCATCCGCCATGAGGCTCAACATAGGATTGATACCCTTGTAGCTGCTTTACACCCATCTCTCACCCTTACCCCTTATACATCGATATGGGATTAAGCTCTTTTATCTTGTGCTCTTCTTTTTTTGATGATAAGCGCAGTGCTGTTTATGTTTACAGAAGACTACCAAAATCTATGCGCCTATACCTTGCTTAGATACTGGATGACGCTTGCCTTTTGACATATTGATAACCGATTCAATGACGCAGAGAGAAATCTTTTTGCTTCCTTTCCATAACAATGCTGCAAAGCATTCCAACTTCCAACTACCATTCAGCCTGCCGTGCGACCCGAAATAGGATGAAGTTGCCCCCAAACTCTGACGCTCCTCCAAACGCACGTAGCCAGCCCCTTACCCAGTAAGCGTTCTAACACCTCCTTGCTTCGCTCCAACCGGCGAGGCACTTTTGATTGCCTTACTGCGTTTAACAAAATGCGACTAATCGAGTTGTCTTACTGCGGTTGCATGACATTTCTGCTACCTCGCCGTGCTACTGCAATACAGTTGACCCTCGCATCAGTCCGCAATCGGCATACCTAGCCTGCGTACTTCATATTAATCATTTCCATCTCTGGGTATATTTTCTCGGGTAGGAATATTAGACGTAAGCTCGCCGGCTTGTTCCTCAGAGAGCCAGCATATACCCATGAACTCCTTCAATACTACCTCATGAAGTATAAGATACTCTTAATATTCTATTCCCTGTATTTCATAGTCCTATTATGTTTTAGAAATCTATCTACTGGCATTGACGATCCTTAGCACATGTACGGCTAATATGAAACTATGGAAGAATTTCCTGCTTGTGCAGTATGGACGAATCCATTCCATTACACCGCTGCTGAGCACTAATTCGCGACTTTCGTTCACCTAGCTGATATGTCTCGGCCATGCTGCTGTCGCTTTTAACTGTAACATTACCGATATTGCATGTGTATGCGGCAATGAAGGGCTCAAGAGCTTCGCGACGGCATGCATTACCGACACGTGCACGGTCAGGGAGGCACTCTGTGAGTTATTGAAATCTGTTCCTACACAACATGCGGCCAATACTGACATCGCACTCTACATCCGAAGTCACGAAAAACCAGACGTCAGTTCAATGTAATGAGCCTCCATACACTAACAAGACATTCGTGCCCGTAATTATCACGTTCTTTGTCCTTGCTTTAATTGCCGTCTTGCTCCGTGCCGCCGCCCGGATCGTATCGCAGGCAAAGTTCTGGTATGATGACTACTTCAACTTTGCAGCTTTCGTAAGGAGCTTCACCGAACCTTCCAGGCGCTTTTAATTAATAACTCCACAGGTAGCCGGCACTGTATACACATTGATGGACGTTCATCGTATGTGTTTCATTAATATCCATCCACAAAAGAACATACTGAGTGTGAGGAATTACAGTAGCAAGTCAAGGCTTTGGAGTGGACATTTGGGCCGTTCCACAGAACAATATTACTTATATACTTGTTGTGTGTTCTTAATATTCCTATTATTTTTATTAGGCACATCGTTCATCACTTACCTCCATCAGAATATCCTCACCGGTTCCGTTCTATACACCACCTCCCGAACACTCATCCGCATATCGATCATTCTATTCTACCTTCGCATTTTTGACACGACATGCGCCAGGAACGTCATCAAGTGGACACTCGTCTTCGTCACATGTTTCTACCCCACGGCGCTCTTCCCCATCATCTTCCAATGCTCGCCAGTAGACTACCTCTGGCTTCGCTGGGACGGCACCCGCAACGGTCGTTGCATTGACTTTCGTGTATTTGTTTGGGCTATAACAATCATTGGTATCGCCTTGGATTTCTGGATCGTCTTGGTTTCGTGCAGGCTCATGATAGGGCTGCAGCTCCCTCTGAAGAAAAAGCTGATGGTGTCCGGCATGTTCACTGCAGGGCTACTGTGAGTCCACCCACGATGCCTGTTCAAGCACTGCTTTGGCTGATTAATGCTAATATGTGTCGCCTCAGCACTATTGCCGTTAGCATCGCCCGACTCCCATGTACCAATCAGTTCACTGTGACCGAGAACCCTACTAGTAAGTAGTCGCCATGATCCATATGCCTTTTTGCCACCTTTAACTAAAGATAATGATACTAAGTTGACTGGATTCCTATTACCATCTGGTCCGCGTTGGAAAATTATATAGGAGTCATTTGTGCCTGCTTGCCAAGCCTTCCGGCTCTTTTTAGACCCCGTTTAACAGTGAAAATACCAGGCACAACCAAAAAGATAGACTTTTTCGGTTGCTTCACGTCGCAAGAAGCGCAAGTGGCCGAACACGTTCTAGGGGTTTCTGGAATGCCCTACGATTCATTGGAGATGGCACCGACGAATGGAAAAGTAAACGATGTAAATCGGGAAGATGGGAGCATCGTTACTGGTAATGCTCACCCGATATATCTTCACTTTATTGATTCGGAACCTGGAAGTCTATAATGAAGTAGTGTGAATGGAAAGAGGAGAACCGACTTAATCATCAGCCGATCAATTGAACGAAAGGCCGGAGATTGAAGCTTAAGAGGTCCCCAGGGAGCCAGCAATGGTCAATAAAGCGATTCAAGTCAAGCCTCCATTGCTATACTTCAATTCATCAATTTCCACAACGCTTATCAGCCTATATCCGTTCTCAAACTTCCTTGATCGGGCCATTAAAGTAGGACTTGGCCCGAACAACGTACCAGAACACGCTGAAAATCACCACGCCACTGAACACGACAACACTCCAGTTGAATCCTTCTGGCGTAGTCGGTGTTTGCTGGGGCCAGAAAGACCAGAACAGCAAGAACACACTATACATAATGGAAAAGATGTTGTTCATAGTTCCAAAAGGTTCCGGCAGTTTCCAAGGTCCCCACGTAAGTTGTCCAGAGGTAGCATCGTCAAAACGTGTGGTATAAGGTTTGATCGCACCAGAAGCACTTCGCCAAAGGAGCAATCCGATGATCAAGGTATAAGATGAAAATAGGGCTACAATGGCAAGGGAGAGGAGAGCGTTGAGCGCAATTGCAGACCCAAGAACAATAAGGGATAATAAGACTGTTACCACAAGCGTAGTGGCGATGAATACAAGAGGCAGCGAGCTTTTATTTAACTGAAAACGGAAGAAAACGTAAGTATCATCGAATTATTTCTCAGAAAGGGAAAAATTTATGAGAGACCTACTTTCACTAAGTGCTTAGAGAGCGGCAATCCGAGATCTCTCGAAAATGACCACAACATGCGGGAAGCAGTCGCATACACACCGATACTACTCGCAATAGCTAGGACAAGAACGATTCCGGCTAGTAGGCCTGCGCCGGTTGTCGAATTAACAG